AGCACGTCCTGCTACTCGGGTTTGCTTGTAACACCGCTAGCGAGGGTTAGTGTTATGAAAGTTGTGCATATCCTCGTAGTAGAATAAAAATACTATTTACAAAGCGCCGCAGCCCTTCACCATTATAATGAAGCATGCAAGTGTCTTGTATTAGTTTTGCTCTATAGCCAGATTAAAGGGGAGTGAATATCACTTTTCAATCGTTGAAAGGATTTCAAATTTAACGCCTCTTCTTTCTCTGATGCTGAAGTAGATCACAAGGTTGGGCCTGTTTGCCCAGAGAACGTGAAGTTCCACACTAATGCTAATGCTAATGCATTAGTTTCTTTCTTACAAAATAATAATATTAGTGTTAGAGATACTGTGGCACTACATCTTTTCTGCAGAATGACTTCAAATGCGTTACGTTTTAAATGCGTCAAGTTTTAAATGCGTTTAGTTCGTCGGCATTTCCAAACACGCAGTGCAAATATCACAGCGCATTCCACATTGTAGAGATAAAAGAAAAAAAAACCTACACCGGAGTTTTAGTGTTTGTCTCTGCAGACAAACATAATTCTATCCTTGTTGTTTCAGTGAATATGACACAGAAGTGAATAAATAAATTCCCTTGCTGAGCAGAGCAAATGCAGAAACCCTCCATTATGTGTTGGGGGCAAGCTGCACCATTCAACACTTGCGGAGGAGATCGTAACCCTAAACCCTAAACCCTAAACCGTAAACCCGAAAGCAAATAAAACGAATCAAAGCGGAGACGGCAAATTTGTTTTCACCGAATAAAGGACGTCGCTCGGAAAAGACGCCGCCTCCTCAATGGACTCCCTTCAACGGGCAGCAACACACATCTCACAAGAAGAGAAAGAAAACTGACCAAGTACCTACTAAATATATATATATATATATATAATAATGTATATATGTATGTAGAAACTGGAAAAGGCATCGCTGCGTTTTTGTATTAGGGTCCCGGCTTTAGGGTTAAAACTACGAAGCAGAATGAAGCGTACCTTGGAAAGAGCCACTCAACAAAGCGAACTAAACACCAGTCTACAATCGCGACGAGAGCGAAGAACTTCCCCGAAAAAGGGCCGCATCTGTTCAGAGCCCTCAGGACTTGAACAGCTTCTTGGGAGGTAGGAAGGGGCGGCGGGTGAGGCGGCAGTGGGACATTAGACAAGGAAATTCCTTTTCGAAGATTTGCAGACATCGGCAGGTCGAAAAGAGCGCTGAAATACACCTGTTCCTGCAGAATAAACGCGCAACGTAACAAGCCCCGTCGGCTGAAAAAAGAGTAAAAACGTTGATGGGCTCGTCTAACAGAAGCTAGTGAATGCAAATAAAGTAACGACAAGCTTTCAATACTTCGCCTAATAGAAGAAACGGAATGCAAACGAAATGAAAGCGAAGTGCATTATATTATATTCAAGGGCGCGTACCACCCGGTCGGCAACGTCTTCCCATGAGTACATTTCAAGTACCTGAGCAAAGCAGACAAAATTTGATTACAATCAATAAATCCGAGTTTACAATTAATTTTTTCATGATGTTATTTCCGCGAGTTCATATCGAATGTATACAAGAAAATGATATGCATGTATGATATTAAGCTGCATCTCTTCCATTAAAAAATAGGTTTCCACGAGCAAAAAGTATAAATTCCTGAACGCAGGAGAATAAACTAAGAATTGCCGCTGCTGCCCTCTCGTTTTGCAGTAGTATACCACGCGAATTGTTCGCTTACTCTTTGGTGCAATGCATGCGGGACTAAGAATTGCCGCTGCTGCCCTCTCGTTTTGCAGTAGTATACCACGCGAATTGTTCGCTTACTCTTTGGTGCAATGCATGCGGGTCGACATCGCCTCTTTCAACTTGTTGAATTGCCTCTTCTAGTTTCAACGTCAGAGCAGCGGGATTAGGAGAGGCTAAGCGCACCATATCAGGAGGCAGCACCTGCACTCCAACAGCCAGCAGCAGGAGATAAAAAAACAAAAAGACTCAAGCTCAGGTTCGGCAGCCCCCCAAAAAAGAGAGCGAGAAAATGCTTTTCTATCGTATTCATAATAGCCTGTTCGTTCTCTAACGACCTCAAACTGCCGAAATGATGAACAGAAATGCAAGGCTGAGAGGTTAAATACGGGTACAGGGGGAAACAGTGGAAGAACAAATGCTGCTATGAATGCGCACATCAAAGAAACACGCAAAATTCATAAAACAAACAGAAAATGCCTCACCTCGGGAATGCCGCCGACGTCGGTTGAAACGACAACAAGCCCGCAGGCAGCAGCCTCTGCATGCAAGAGAGAGCATTCAATTATATAGTATATATATAACCCCATATATAGTAATATAAATATTCAAAATGTATACACTGACTGAAGGCACCTCCACCTTACCCACAATCGCAATACAAAAGGACTCTGTCAGCGACGCATTCAGAAATATTTGCCCCCGCTGTAGAAATGAACAGGCCTGTCCATGAGGAATAGCTCCTGCAACAAAGAAAGAAAAAGCAGGAAAAAGCAGTCATATCGCCTATACTAGGCAGCGCAAAGCAGGAAGCTGCTGGTCATCGACAAAAAGTAATAAGCACCGACAAGCTTCACCAACAACACGTGTAAAACATGCATTCTCCTTTTTCAGGATACAGCAGAAGAAAAGCATTAACAATAACAATGAAACAGATACAATAACAGAAACAATACAACAAAAAAGATAAAATTACAGAAACAATGTTGAGCTGTAAAAAGATAGCAACAGTAATAATTATACAACATACGAAAACACAAATGAGATTAAGCCATGAGATGATAATGATAATAACAACAGCACAGCATCAATACTAATACACTAATAAAATATACAAATACGAAAATAAAACGAGAAAGAATGAGAATATTTATTGCAGGAGGCTTCGGCCTCTTCGACAGATCAGGGACGTATGAGGGTACATCCTGCGGCAAGCAAAACACAAGAAAAACAAAAGCAAGCATTCCTCAGTAGGCATATATAAACTGACTGAAAGAATCATGTAAAGCAGAATAATAGAGAGCAAGTAACAGGATACACAATTGCGGAATAGCATTAAGCAACCAAATGACTTCCTACTTTATCCACACAAATGCATGCGTATATATAATAGATAATTAAATGATAATTGCTTTGCAGCTTTCTCGTCTTTCTGCTTACCACTGCATTGTTGATGACGGCGATCTGGTGAGGATTTAAGGCGCCTCTGAGCACAAGGTTTTCTTTGTGTGTGTGCGAGACGCAAATGCAGTGGTTGCAGTGCGTTAAGAAGAACTTGAATATCTTGTTCATGTGAATGCAAGCAGCATCTGCAAAGCTAAACATTGAATGGTCTGTATATACCACCTAATCAACACAACAAGAATGACAAAAGAAAACACAGACAGATAATGCCTAACTCCAAATAACCCTTTCTCTCTTCCCATTATAAGAAACACGCAAAATAAATAAAATAAATCTACTGTTAGCAAAGAAACTGCAGCAAAGGCAAACTAATCAACGCAGCAACGTGGATGCACTCGATCTGCAGATTACATGCGTATAATTCTTTCGTGAGAGTAGCAGGAGAGTTGCAGAAATAAAGATATTTAAACATAAACATGAGCATTGTTTATACACTCAATTGTTCTACTCTCATACATTACACATCCTTTCAACTCAAAGTTGAATATACATGCATAAGCACTAACACAACCCAATACTATGCCTATATCAATACACAATATACATATATACATATATATGTATATATTTACATTTATATTATTCATATATACATATACATTTATATTTACATATACATTTATATTCATATTATGTGAATGCAAGCAGCATCTGCAAAGCTAAACATTGAATGGTCTGTATATACCACCTAATCAACACAACGAGAAGGACAAAAGAAAACACAGACAGATAATGCCTAACTCCAAATAACCCTTTCTCTCTTCCCATCATAAGAAACACGCAAAAGAAAGAAAAGAAAGAAGATAAATCTCCTGTTAGCAATGAAACTGCAGCAAAGGCAAACTAATCAGCGCAGCGACGTGGCTGCGCTCGATCTGCAGATTAAATGCGTATAATTCTTTCGTAAGAGTAGCAGGAGAGTTGCAGAAATAAAGATATTTAAACATAAACATGAGCATTGTCTATACACTCAATTGTTCTACTCTAATCCATTACACATCCTTTCAACTCAAAGTTGAATATACATGCATAAGCACTAACACAACCCAATACTATGCCT